ATAGCCAAAATTTGTCCATAACAGCGAAACTGATAGTTGTGTTGCTATATACTATTTATGCAAAACCAGAAAAGGTGATATTTTTAGAAGGTGATATTAATGAGTTTGGACTTTATTCTGCACTTAAGAAAACACACTGCAGTAGAGCTTATATTTTGGATGTACAGAGAAGTTCAACAACATCTCACAATTTGGACAATGGTCATCATTGTTTTGTTCATATTCCCCATGATATGCTTGAGGTACCAACTATGGGTGTTTTAATTTCTAGGAAGAATCCATGCATTCAAGCTTGGCTATAGCTTACCAATTTAAACCTGAACCCCTGCGGGATTTCTGTGTGAAATTGCCTTTGCTTGTAGTGTTGTATATGACTTAAGCCAACCTTTGCTCTGACATGTTAATGTAAGAACTCAGCCTATACTAACTATGCCACATGACATAATGATTGACATACGCCTACCTTGAACTCTGCTTGCCTTTAGGGCAAGAAGTACAATGACAACAGAAAAACAACTATGAGTAACATATTGTAAATAATAAATAGGTCAAACGATAGGTTTGAGTACAGTTCATCATGGATATAGATTAATTTGATAAATCACACATAAACACAACAGTAAAAGTAATAACCCTATTACTGTCATTGGAGAAGATGGTATATCTATAGTTGTAGAAATATATATAAAGAAAAATAAAGTTGTCGCAAAGCTTAATTTGGTGAGAACAGATGTCACACTTGCTTATTCAAGTACCAAGAAAGAAACATAGTGGAATTATATTCAGTATTGAAGGGGGAAGCAAACATACTTTGTTAAATTTAAAAAAACAAAACTTTAAAAGACATGCACTAGAGAAACTCCTTTAAGGATATGCCCTAAGGTTTATTTATAGTCCTCATTTTCTAGTGACTAGTCATATTTAGTCTCAGAGGATATAGTGTTTCCAAAAAAAATAACAACATAAGATTTGCAAATGTACAGACTTACCTTACAAAACTTTACTTTAGAAAGTATCAGGTCACCATAATACTTTCTAAATCTAAAATTTCCCCAAGGAAAAATCAGATCATATACTATATTTGTCTGTAGGTACGTGTTTAGCTTTTGTAGATCTTCAACGGAGAGGATTTGGAACAAATGTATTCCTAATGGCACATTAAACATACATAGGATGCTTGGAGATTGCAGAACACTAATGCTTCACATTTTATAGACAAGGGATTTGAATAAGGTACATGCAATTATCTTGGTACATCAAAACACCCTAATTAAACTGCTCCAGAGTCCAAGATCTCCATCGTTCTGAGGAAGGTATGTACACAATTCATTGTAGGCAGTTGCCTTAGGTCTGACATACGTAGTTCCATTCGAACCAAAAAGACCAATACACTGTGTGCTGCTTATGCACATAAATGGTCATCTCTTCTTAAGTAAGTACTTAAGAAAGGGTGTATATATCAAATAAAAAAAAAAATAGAATGTGTATTTGCATAAAACATGGATTTGCTTCTGCTTATAAGGTATGTTCTATGTTTCTGAAATGTAATTTAAAAGCACAGATTATTTGCCTATTGTATATTAACATAAATCCTTACTAAAATATTTTTTTCCAAAAAAAAGCATAGATTATATAATATAGACGCACACTTTCTGTACTTTGCACATTACATGATAAAAATAAAAATATTTTGCTTGTTTTAGAAAGCAGGTAAGCAAATATGTGTTTGAGGTCTTAATGTATTTACAGACGGAAACCATAATAATATTAACAATAGCACTCTAAAAAGGGTTTCCCGTATACAACCTTCAAAGATTTTTCCTATCTCTCAAAATAAAACAATAGAGCTATGTACGTTCATATATCAATATACATTGATTGTGAAGGCAAGCTATGGGCTTAACATGACCTTATATATTCCATCCACTAAGTGAATGAACTACACGTCAAATAAAAGCTCCTGTTTATAAACCTATTATATTTACGAATAAATAATAATTAAAGTTGTTTTTTTTATTATTCGTGACAATGGTTGGTATATGGTCTTTTTCTCCAAGTTGTGTGGAACAGATGCTATGCCTAGTATTCCTTTACTATAATGTAACAGAAAATATTTGGTCAGCTTACTCACATCATAAAATTTTAGTATTCTTTCAATCACATCAGAATTAATTTCGGAATTACCTTAAAAGCCTATAAATGAGACATGACAAGTGCCTTTATACCTCAAATGCAAATTAGTTAAATATCCAACACCTATAACCATTAAAACCCAACACCTATAACCATTACGATATCTTCCTGTTTATACACAATTGACACCCCGTACGAGAAGCAAGTCAACTGATGGGATTTTTCTTTGTCAGACTTTTAATGGAAACAAAAACATGAGAACTCTAAAATTCAAATTTTATGTCAAAATGTCCAAATTGGAAAATTGGACTCCTTGGTTGAGATGGTGGCATCACTTGCTATGCTATTCTTTGACGATGCAATGTAACATAATCCAAAGTCGATCTATTTATGTAAGGTTACCTGTTAAGGTTATCTGTTTTGCAGTCCAAGGTACAAAGTGGATTAAATACTTTTCACAATTTGTTGGCAATCTGACTGCAGAATTATACCATTATCCTTTGGTTTTTAAAATTACAGATTTATATATGAATAATATTTTATATAATTTTCTAAATAAAATATATGTTTATATTTTTTTTGCAAATTGTTTTAGTATCTGTTGCTAAAATCATTTCCTTCAGTATTATGTATGTTGATACGTGTCCAGTTGACTTTATCACAGCAAAAATCTGAGTTCTTTAAATTGATTTGGGTGTTCTAAATTTAAAAAAAAAAACTTCAGTTGAACATTTTTGGTTTGGTTCGAAAATATGGGCTGGTTTAAAAAATGTCTTATTATTTAAAAAAAAAAATGCCAAGGAAGTCTTTCAATGTGGGAAACAAGTCCCATTTATAAAAAAAAAAAAAAAAAATCTGAAACTGTAAATCAAGTGATTCAAAGTTAAATGGCAGTGGCTATTAGACTTGTGAAAATATTTTAGTTCTTTCGAATTGTTATGGTTTGGATTTTTGACATTTTTAGGCTAAGAAGAATTTTGGCCAAAGTTCAATGAAAAATTCTGAGATTCAAAAGGACACTGAATTTTAATTCAGACTGAACCAAATCTTCAAGTGTAGCATGTGATTACATACAGGGATACAATAGATTATTTAATTTTTGATTTAGATACTATTGTTTGTGTTACTCTATTTTTATTCATTCAAGGGATATTCTAAGCACCATTACATAACTAGAACAGTTTCACAAAACTAATATGGCTTAATAAGTACTTCAACATTAGCCACAGACGGATGCAGTTGGTATGCATGGTATGTAGAGAGCTATTTCACCAGTTAATCATGGAGATGTGAACTGATTTAAAAAATAATTAGGTTACAATACCCAAGCTTTAGCTATGACTTGGTTGAAGCATTGTACCAAATTTTGAATTCAGCTCTTTTGGTCTAAACCTTACCATTCCATTTTCAATTCACTATATTTTGTATATACCATTGTATATTCTTTCAATAATCTAGTATTGATTTTCCCTGACTTTGGCAATTATTGAAATTCTGAGCAGCCAGTTGACATCTAATCAAGAAGTGGAGGATTGATATGCAGGTGGCCTATTTGCAAACTTCCCTTTAGAGGGTCAAATGCCTAATATCATTGATCAAAATTTTTTCAGAAACGTTTGTTTCCTCAGTTGATATCATAAGATTGTCCATTTACTTAAATTGATATGGGAAAATGAGATGTGAAAATTACATGAGCAATTTAGTATGAATCATTCTCCGCCATAATTATGCTTTTCCAAGTAAGATAAGCTAGAGAGATCTTTTTGTGTTATTATGCTGAGACAAGAGCTGTCTTAGAATGGTTTTATTCTTCGATCCTTAGAAAAATGTATTCCACACTGCAGAGCTTTATATTGCAAAAGTAGGAGATAAAACGGTAGTCATCTTTTTATGGTATTAATTTATTATCTTTTATCAGGACATCTGATTAATGTAGGAATGCAGCAAAACAGAGGCTTATCTTCTGTTAAGTGGCATCCACCATATTATGGAAGATATAACTTAGATAAGAAATGGAAACAATTTATCAGTGCAAATTATATGCCCACTATATTTTTATCTTGTAAACTATTTATAGTCTCAAAATAGTTGTACATACAGGTCAAATCCTCTTTACATAATACAGATCGTAAACATCTTTATTTGTAGAAACCAATAGAAACTGTATATACTTTCTAAAAATTACTATACGTCAATATGTGCTTAGCACATTTGAAAGAAAAAACACACACATTATTTTTAAGCGGTTATTTAGTGCACGGATGGTGACGTTATATGTTAAATTATTTCCTGTGATACTATGGATACGAATTGGAATGGTGAAAGTACTAACATTCCTTAATTTGTGTTCGATTTCCTTGTAATAAAGTCTGATGACAGACGTGTCATAACTTACCTGTGCATCTGGATAAGCTCTTACCTTAATTATGAGCAACTTTACCTATTTAGAGTTTCGAGATTTCCAACATCCTTTTTTTTTTTTTTTGTACGATTCACACCTCAAACTTGATACACCTCATAGTCAATACTGGTATCGTACTGTTTTATCAACCAAATAATATTTTGTTACGTTACATTTTGTATTTCATGTTATTGTCGCTAATACTTTCTTCAAGATACATCTCTACTGTTAATTGTATTAATAATACCTCAAAGTACCTGGAAGCCAATTATACCACAACTTTTGGTTTTCTGTTTTGTTTGAAAATATATACAAAAATAAAGAATTTAAAAAATATTATTTCCTGTGATGAATAGGGAATAGTGATGTCCCGAACGGTTGGCCGAACGGTTCGCGAACGGTTCGCCACGAACGGTTCGCCACGGACTCATCATTGAGTAAACTTTGACCCTGTACATCACAGTCAGCAGACACGTTCCAGCCAATCAGCAGCAGACCCTCCCTCCTAGACCTTCCCACCTCCTGGACAGCTCACTAAGAATGCAGCTTCACAATGAATGTAAAATGGATGCTGTCCAGGAGTTGGGAGGGTCTGGGAGGGAGGGTCTGCTGCTGATTGGCTGGAATGTGTCTGCTGACTGTGAGGTACAGGGTCAAAGTTTACTCAATGATGAGTCCGTGCCGAACCGTTCGTGGCGTACCGTTCGCGAACTGTTCGGCGAACCGTTCGGGACATCACTAATAGGGAATAATGGACAGATCATCGCTGTGCAGTTCAAGGGCTCTTCTCTTGGACAAACCAGAGTCAGATCTTCCCAAGATTAGTGGGAGTTACACTTCTAAGTGTAAAGTGCTGCAGTTTTAGTGACTGGAGCTGAAATAATTGCTGCCTTGAAAGTAAATCCCATTAATCACAGGCAGCACCTAGATATGTTTGCTCCAGTGTTTGGTACAGTAAACGCCCTCTTATAACTCCTTTATTACACTACATTATACTGCACATTAACCTCTACAGCACATCATCCTAACACACTGCACAATTACTAAACATTACCAGTACACTGCACATTAACACATACTAGTGCACAAACACAGATACACACACTGGCACATCCACACACACCGAGATACACACTGACACAGATATGTGCACAAACTCAGATACACACAGGTAGGTACAGATGCAGGGGTGTATTTGTGTGCAGTGTTAGCGTTGGAATGCTGGGATGTATGCATTGCCACATACACACAGATGCACACTTACACAAACACTAAACAGAACACAGACACACATGCAGTGGTGTATTTGAGTGCAATTTTGTTGGGACACAGGAGTGTATTTGTGTGCAGTGTTAGTGTTGGAATGCAGCAGTGTAGTTGTGTGCAGTATTAGATTATGTGTGTGCAGTGTTGGCATTGGAATGCTGGGATGAATGCATTGCCACACATAGATATACACTTATACATACTAACACACACATATATATATATACATATATATACAGGGAGTGCAGAATTATTAGGCAAATGAGTATTTTGACCACATCATCCTCTTTATGCATGTTGTCTTACTCCAAGCTGTATAGGCTCGAAGCCTACTACCAATTAAGCATATTAGGTGATGTGCATCTCTGTAATGAGAAGGGGTGTGGTCTAATGACATCAACACCCTATATCAGGTGTGCATAATTATTAGGCAACTTCCTTTCCTTTGGCAAATAGGGTCAAAAGAAGGACTTGACAGGCTCAGAAAAGTCAAAAATAGTGAGATATCTTGCAGAGGGATGCAGCACTCTTAAAATTGCAAAGCTTCTGAAGCGTGATCATCGAACAATCAAGCGTTTCATTCAAATAGTCAACAGGGTCGCAAGAAGCGTGTGGAAAAACCAAGGCGCAAAATAACTGCCCATGAACTGAGAAAAGTCAAGCGTGCAGCTGCCACGATGCCACTTGCCACCAGTTTGGCCATATTTCAGAGCTGCAACATCACTGGAGTGCCCAAAAGCACAAGGTGTGCAATACTCAGAGACATGGCCAAGGTAAGAAAGGCTGAAAGACGACCACCACTGAACAAGACACACAAGCTGAAACGTCAAGACTGGGCCAAGAAATATCTCAAGACTGATTTTTCTAAGGTTTTATGGACTGATGAAATGAGAGTGAGTCTTGATGGGCCAGATGGATGGGCCGGTGGCTGGATTGGTAAAGGGCAGAGAGCTCCAGTCCGACTCAGACGCCAGCAAGGTGGAGGTGGAGTACTGGTTTGGGCTGGTATCATCAAAGATGAGCTTGTGGGGCCTTTTCGGGTTAAGGATGGAGTCAAGCTTAACTCCCAGTCCTACTGCCAGTTCCTGGAAGACACCTTCTTCAAGCAGTGGTACAGGAAGAAGTCTGCATCCTTCAAGAAAACATGATTTTCATGCAGGACAATGCTCCATCACACGCGTCCAAGTACTCCACAGCGTGGCTGGCAAGAAAGGGTATAAAAGAAGAAAATCTAATGACATGGCCTCCTTGTTCACCTGATCTGAACCCCATTGAGAACCTGTGGTCCATCATCAAATGTGAGATTTACAAGGAGGGAAAACAGTACACCTCTCTGAACAGTGTCTGGGAGGCTGTGGTTGCTGCTGCACGCAATGTTGATGGTGAACAGATCAAAACACTGACAGAATCCATGGATGGCAGGCTTTTGAGTGTCCTTGCAAAGAAAGGTGGCTATATTGGTCACTGATTTGTTTTTGTTTTGTTTTTGAATGTCAGAAATGTATATTTGTGAATGTTGAGATGTTATATTGGTTTCACTGGTAATAATAAATAATTGAAATGGGTATATATTTGTTTTTTGTTAAGTTGCCTAATAATTATGCACAGTAATAGTCACCTGCACACACAGATATCCCCCTAACATAGCTAAAACTAAAAACAAACTAAAAACTACTTCCAAAAATATTCAGCTTTGATATTAATGAGTTTTTTGGGTTCATTGAGAACATGGTTGTTGTTCAATAATAAAATTAATCCTCAAAAATACAACTTGCCTAATAATTCTGCACTCCCTGTATATATATATATATATATATATATATATATATACACATTTACATACACACACACACTCAGAAACACACACACACACGCAGGTACACATACACATTGACACAGGTATACTTTCACACAGATACACAGAGGGATGTGTTTACCACAAGGCAAACAAGGCATTTGCCTTGGGTGGCACTTTCTGGGCGGCACTTTTTTGCCGCCCCCAATCACCCTGGCAAATGCCTTGCCAGCCTCTTGTCCTGGGGGGCCCAGGAGCTGGCCATGACAGGGCCCCCCAGGCTGGTAGTGGCAGCAATTTCCGAGCAGGCGGCGAGGGAGCACTAATCCTCCTGTTCAGCACCGCAGTGATGCCGGAGCCGGAATATGATATCTTAGCGCTGAACAGGAGGATTAGTGCTCCCTCGCTGAGTGCAAGGACCGGCCGCCCAGCAGCCCCCCTGGACCCCAGGCAAAGTAATAATCCACCCCAGCATTCCCAAAGGTAAGGAGGCTGGGGGGGTTGATTTTTTTTTTAAATGTGTGTGTGTTAATATGTGTGTCTGTTAGTGAGTGTGTGTGTGTCTGTTAGTGAGTGTGTGTGTGTGTGTGTGTCTGTTAGTGAGTGTGTGGGTGTCTGTTAGTGAGTGTGTGTGTGTGTCTGTTAGTATGCGTGTATGTGTGTCTGTTAGTGAGTGTTTCTGCTAGGGAGTGTGTTACTATGTGTGTGTCTGTTAGTGTGTGTGTCTGTTAGGGAGTGTGTTACTATGTGTATGTCTGTTAGCGAGTGTGTGTCTGTTAGGGAGTGTGTTACTAAGTGTGTGTCTGTTAGGAAGTGTGTGTCTGTTAGTGTGTATGCATGTCTGTTAGTGAGAGTGTATGTGTGACTGTCTCTGTTAGTGAGTGTGTTAGTATGTGTGTCTGTTAGTGAGTGAGTGTGTATGCATATCTGTTAGTGAGAGTGCATGTGTGTCTGTTAGAGAATGTGTGTGTCTGCTAGTGACTGTATGTGTGTGTAAATGAGTGTGTATGTTTGTTAGCTAGTGTATGTGTGTCTGTCAGTGAATGTGTGTGTCTGACACTGAGTGTATAGGTGTCTGTCAGTGAGTGTGTATGTGTATTTAGAAGGCGGGGCGGAGGGTGTCTGAGTTTTGTCATGCCTAGGGCAGCACAGAATTAGGATACACCACTGGATACACATACACACAGATGTACATACACAGACACAGATAGACACATATAGCCAGATGCATACACAGCCCGATACACACAGACACACATACACAGCCAAATACACACAGAGCTATATACACAGCCAGATACACACACAAAGCCAAATTCACACACCACAGTCAGATACACACACAGCCAGGTACACACACACACATACAGCCAGATACACACACACACACACATACAGCCAGATGCAAATGCACACAGCCAGATACACACACTGACATACACACAGCCAGATACACACACACAGAGTCAGATACACACACACAGAGCCAGATGAACACACAGATATTGCCTTATGCACTGACTCAGACCCAGGTACGCACACGTATATCATTACATCATATTTTAGCCACCCTCCTGTCTCCTTACCTTTTGGATACAAAAGGATGGCTTCCCTGGCATCCAGTGGGAGCTGCATGGCCAAGGCTGATGGGAGTCTGACTTCCTCAGTCTCTCTCCTCCTCCTGTGTATGCCTCCTCCACCTCCCCAGCGACACTCTGTTACTTGGGAGGAAGTGATCTCACCTCATTTCCTTCCTTCCAGCAGGCAACATGAAAGGGGCCCGGTCTGGAGCACTCTTAAAGGGCCGGGGCCCCTGATTATATAAGATGCCACAGAGCACAGGGTTTGGACACCAGCAGAGGACACACATTTGTCAAAAACATACTAAACCCCTGTGGAACCCTTCAGACAGCCCTTTGCTGATAAATTTAACCGAATGCTGAGAGGGATGGTATTGTAAAAGTGTAACGAATAATGATTAGTTGAAGTTGATGCAAGTGTGGTGAGGTTTTAGGAAAACTTTATTCGGACACGTGGATTTTGCATGGATTTCAACATAAATTCCTTCACTTGGAATCTGTAATAACCTATATGACTTAAAACCAGTGAAAATGTAAACAACCTGAAATCGTGTAAACGAATGGCTGGAATATTGCCGAACCGTACTTCAGACAGCAATACCAGTTTAAACATAATCACATTATATGACATTACTAGAGTTGAGCGAACCTTGACTGTAAAGTTCGGGTTCGTAACGAACATTACGTTTTTTGGACGCCGGACCCGAACACAGACATATCACTGTATGTTTGGGTTGGAGTTCGGTGTTCGGCAATTTAATGACGCATTTTTGAAAGCCTGCAGGGCAGCCAATCAACAAGTGTTTGATTTGTTTGTCCTTAGAAGCTATCACAGCCATGCCTACTAAAGGCATGGCTGTGATTGGCCAGTGCAGCATGTGACCCAGTCTCTATATAAGCTGGTTACTTAGTATTATTAAATTATGCCCCTACTCGCTATACCGCGAGTAGGGGCATGTCTACTAAACAGTGAGCAGCCTGTGGCTACTCAC